ATGTTTTTGAAATTTACAGACTAGCTGAATCAAGGCGTGTCGTGCTTCAAAGATGTATCAGTTTCTAATTTCTACATTTCTTTACTCAGGCACTAGGTGTCGCCATGGAGACAATATTTTCTCTCAGCCAGAGCAAATCGCAGTTTGGTGACTTCCTGTAAAGTTTCCACTTACTTGCTTTTCTTTTATTGCTTTTGCACGGTTTTCATGTCGTCATTGTTGTATGGAACAGCATTTTAAAACCACATTTCATCCCTATGCTCGACGATACGAGTCAGTTAATTTTCACATCACCTCATTTGAGTTAGTCAATCTGCTACGACTGTTCTCAGTTTATTACTCTGGAGAACCGTTGGTAGGCATGATTGGACTAAAGGCTGTGTGTACCTTACGCCTGTCATTTATGGAGATTGTCCTGTGGCACTCTGAAACAGCTTCCACTGTCTGGAGTGAGAAGACAAACTGTAAGTAGCCATATCCATCTGAACATCTATTTAATCTCCCGCCTGGTTGTCATATCTGCTAAGTTTTGGACTTGAGAATACGGGAAATGTTTGCTGTTGCCGTCGGTGCGGGGGTGGGTGTGAAGAAAACTACTGTAACAGGAAACAGCAGGAAGAGGAAGACAGAGGAGTAAAATGTGTAAGTTTCCCGGCCAAAGCGGGACACTTGACAGGTACTCTGGAAAACGTTACTGAACATTTTTGCAAAGCTTTACAGGGAGCAATGCATGTTATAATTGATCCCGGAAGTGGTAAATCCAGTTCTGTCAAGACTTGTTTCCACATGTAATCTGTCCCACTACTTCAGATTAGGAGCAGCCCTCAAATTCCGTAATATTCATATAAGAAAAGGCTTACACTTCCTCCTACCTTTGACTAGCCAGCAAATAGACATGTTTAATCTTTGAGGGTGGTAATGGTGGTCTTGCTTTTTTAGATAATTATGCTTGTTTATTTGCTTAATCAATAGAACATTTATAACAAGAAAACAGCTTAATCTGACATACCATTATGTCCAGCAATCTTTGAAAAACAGTTGGATTACTTTTTAAAGAGACATCGTAAAAACTAAGAAATCTCTTCCCAGTGAAAATTATAAGTTTATGGATGCTAACATTATCTAAAACAATTTTTTCACCCTTTTTGAGTTATGTAGATAACTGTTTTACGTGCGGAAAATAAAAAAAATATATATAGATTTCTGCTTTTATTTTTAATTAATTATTTAATTAATATTTCAGTCCTCCATACTTATGTAGACATTAAAATGCAACCAAACTACAATATGTCAAAGTGCATTTGCTGGGAAAATACACCTGAACGGTGAAACTGGAAAAGTTTAGTGATGAGCTCTAAATTCCCTTATGTTTAAAACTGTCATGGGCTGTGGTTGGTGGTGAGAATGAACACAGGAGACCCAGATGAAGATGATGATTACTTTAATGATGAATGTTGCTCAAAAACAGTCCAGTCAGGCAGCACGGCAGGAACAATAGCACACAGCTAATACCGGTAGCAACCGACAACAAGGTGACTGAATACAGGAGCTAAGGCTAACCAGGACTTTAAACAGTGCGACTGGAGAGCTTGACAGTAGATGTAAGACGTACGACGAAGATCTGACACAGACAGAGACAACAGGTGGACTTAAATACACTGGGAGGGTGATCAAGGAAAGAGACACAGCTGGGATCAATCAACAGGGGAAGACACAGAGACAACAGAGACTCGCAGGACAGAAACTAAACACAGAAAAACCTTAAATACACAGAAACATGGATCATGACAAAAACTCAAGAGTTCTGTATCACTGATTGCATGAAAACCATCACTACTAGGTAAAAGAACATATGACAGTGAAAAATAGTCTAGTAGCATTTGCAGCTCATACATTTTAACTAATACATTTTCGCATTAGTTTTATTCAAGTCAAAAGATGATTAGAATTAACAAATTATATTAATTTTTGTTTTATATTATTGAAATGAATTCATGAAAAACATTTTTTTCTCCATTTCAGATGAAGGCAGTCTGTTGCTGCAGTGTGTTGCTCCTGCTCGTTCTCATTCCCACCTGCTGTCATGGTGGCAACATCTTGGTCTTTCCTACTGAAGGAAGCCACTGGATAAACATGGAAATTATTCTTAAAGCTCTACACTCCAGGGGACACAATGTTACTATTGCACGACCCAGCAAAACCTGGTACATCAAGGATAATCCCTTATATTACAAGACTTTCATAGTTCCAGTAGAAAACAGCTTAATAGATGCAGATTTTATGAAAAAAATGTTTTCTGAATTTCTAAAACTTGAACGGGGGACTTTACCTATCACCAGTTTTCTCCGAATGACGCTAGGCCTGCTCGACAAAATTGTTGATGTTCACAATTCTGTGAGCTCATTTGTCCCAGCTCTGCTGGATAATGTGGAGTTGATGAGGAAATTAAATGAAACCAAGTTCGATCTGGTTCTTACTGATCCATGCTGGGGTAATGGAGCAATTTTGGCCAAATACATGAATCTCCCTTTAGTTTACAATGTTCGCTGGTTAATGCCTGAAGAAGCTCATTTTGCCATCGCTCCCTCACCATTATCCTACATCCCTATGACAGGATCTGGCCTCACTGATAAAATGACTTTTTTTCAGAGAGTTAAAAACATCATTTTGTATCTATTGACTTCCATTCAAAGCAAGTTTGCGTCTAAGTTTGTATACCAGCCACTTTGTGAAAAGTACCTTGGACCTGATTGCAACTTTGAGCAGATACAGAATGATGCAGACATTTGGCTCATGAGAACTGATTTTGTGTTTGATTACCCACGTCCCACAATGCCTAATGTCGTGTACATGGGAGGGTTCCATTGTAAACCTGCAGAACCACTTCCTGATCACATGGAGGAGTTTGTGCAGAGTTCTGGAGAGCATGGAGTTGTTATCATGTCCCTCTCAACATTTGTTAATGAACTTCCAGAGGACCTTGCAGATAGCATTGCTGCAGCTTTTGCGAAATTGCCACAAAAAGTCATCTGGAGCTACAGAGGCCCCAAACCATCTACTCTGGGTAACAACACTTTACTGGCTGAGTGGATGCCACAAAAAGACCTTCTAGGACATCCTAAGATAAAGCTATTTGTGGCTCATGGAGGAACAAATGGAGTCCAGGAGGCCTTGTGTCATGGAGTCCCAGTAGTGGGTTTTCCTCTGGTTTTTGACCAGTATGACAATCTGCTGCGCTTACAAGAGAAAGGTGGAGCTAAAATTCTTACATTCAGGGCAGTGGACAAAGATGATGGCTTTCTGAAAGCTATGCAAGAAGTTCTGAACGAACCGTCCTACAGGCAGAACATGCAGAGACTCTCCAGGTTGCACAGAGATCAGCCAATGAAGCCAATCGATACAGCCATCTTCTGGATAGAATACGTCATGAGGCACAAAGGAGCTGGTCACCTGAAAGCTCAGTCCTACCGAATGCCCTGGTATGTTTACCACTCTGTAGATGTAGTCCTCTTCCTGACAGGAGCAGTGATGCTCACGGTTCTAGCTACAGTCGTGTTTGTCAGGTGTTTATGGAAATTTGTGTGTAGACGTAAAGTAAAACGTGAGTAATATTTATATCCTTTATGTGTAAAGATATTGCCTGTAAATAAAAGCATGTTTATTGAGCAAAGCAATTGTTTTCTTAATTTAGAGGAATATTTTGAACTTTGTTATTCAAAGCAGGGTACTGTTTTAAAAGATTTTTAACAAATAAATAGATGTTTGTATTTTAATTGACATGGTAAATTAATAAATAATTTAAAATATGTTTAATCTGTCCCACTCTTGTGTTTGATAGCAGAATATTATATATTGCAGCAGAACAGGATTAGAGACATTATTCTTGGTTATCAAGTTGCACGTGGGAATGACATACCAAACTTGACAATGTCCCATTTACAAACTGTCTGATTAAATGATTTCATTCAGTAACTTTGCTAACTCAGCTGTTTCATAAATTAGAATATTCTAATAAGGTTCTATATTGTCTTTGAATAATAATTGTTAAGCAGGTTGTAGCCATACTTTCTATTTTAAATGTTATTTTGTCATTGTCATTGAAAATAATCACCATGAACAAAGATAAAGGCATTACAACATCAGTCTGTCATTTTTCTAATGTGTTTCACTTTTAAATTTAGTTACTACAATAAATTACTTTTCTTTACAGTTGTTTTTTTAATTATTATTTTACATTAAATTTTTGAAATAAAGTTAGAAACTGAGCACCATGTCTTTGATATAAATGGAACAATGTCTGAGGGTCTTTAATGTTAGTGATAATGTTGCACCCATTTTATCGCACTGTAGTTGACAGTGGACTCACTTTTACTCCTTTGTGCTTGGGTTGCCTTGTTCTGTATATAAATACCAAACAACTGGAAAAGCAGGTAATAATGCCATTTTGAAATGGTGATAAGAGACACATTGATAAAACTGTACCTATTTTTGTCCTGTCAATGAGTAAGCTTATTATGTTTGTTCCTTGCACACGTTATCATAATTTAGTAGCCTTCACTGGGGTAAAGAGCATGAGCTCTTAACCTCTGCATTTTATGAAGATAGACTCTTTGTGCTTGTAGCTGTAGACTGTAAACTGTTTGTGGATCACGGAGGAAAACTGGGAGTATAAAAGGTCCTGTGGCATGAAGTCTGAATAGTGAACTTACCCTTGTTTTTAAATCAGTTTGTCAATCGGGAGAAGGACCTAAAAGTCTTACACTTTTCAGACATTGATGACAACGTCCAAAAAGCTATGCAAGTCTTGAACAAACACTCCTGCCAGGTGAACATGCAGATTCTCCACTGGATTCAACCCACATTTACCTATTTAGAGTGATTTTTTTTAATGCTGAATTATTTCTTGATATGTACATTTAAAAAAAAATGCACAGTTTGTCTGAATCAAAGTTTGTGTTATTTAGTCACTCACTGTGCCAAACACGGTCTCTAATTGCTGCATTCCTTTTCTCAGACACTAGGTGTCGCTATATTTTCTCTCAACAGGAGACTGACACTTCCCGTGACTTCCTCTAAAGTTTCGACTTACTTACTTTCCTTTCATTGCTTTTGCACACTTCATGTCATCATTCTTGCATTGAACAACGATTTTAAACAAAATTTCTCCCCAAAACTCAACGATTGGCCTCAGTTTCACATTCCTGAAAATCACCGCATAATTTTTCTTGGTCTGTTTTTACTGTTCTCACACCTAGGTTATTACTTTATAGAACCATTTGATAGGCGTGACTGGACTAAAGGTGTGTTCCGTATGGGGATTGTCCTGCAGCACTCTGAAACAGCTTTCATGTAGGTCTGGACTAAGAAGACTAACGGTAAGTAGCTCTCTTGATATCTCGCTAGCTAGCTATTAAAATCTCCTCAGTTATTTTACTCAGGAAATTGTTACTTGACATTTTTGCACATGTAAAGTTACACTTGTACATCAGGAGCTAAGTATGTTACAGTTGATCCCTGCAATGTTAAATACAGGTCTGTCAAGGCGTGTTTTCACTTTTTTTTTGCTTGCTGTAGATATCCTAAATAATCTGTTCCACTATACTTCAGATTAGGTGCAGCCCTCAAATCCCATAATATCCAATGGGAAAGTTATCCAAAGCCACATTCAGTTGTAGATTATATAGAAAACGAACTTTAGATAATTTAGTTTAGTAGAGCCGTGTTTGTCTAACTCTGATAAAAGTACCTATAGTGGCATGCTTAAGGGTGTCAGAAACAAACAAATTAGCAACTCAAGTAGTCTTTCAAAATTAAATCTGAGAGTGGAATCAAACCCAGTTTAACTGTGTTCAAGTTCATGTACCAGTGAGAGTTGCTCAATCATATGCTTAGAGACCAGGATAATTACTAGTAATACAAGCAATGTACCAGATTTGTAACTAATGAAGGTTGTATCCTATGGGTTTCATGAAAAATGGATGACATGCAAAAAGGCAAAAAACAACAAAAAAAACTTTCTTCTACCTTTCTTTTATTTTGCCATTTAGTCTTTCTTGTGATTTTTTTTTCTTTTCATTTACCTCTTCAGATTTATTCCCCAACTGAATGTTAAAGAAGAGTAGATGGCTCATAATGTTAAAGTGATGAAAATGGAACTTTTTGAAAGTTGATCATCTGGTGTAGAGCTAACATAGCAATTTAGAAAGCAAAATCACACAACGTGTCAAACATGGTAGCAATAGTTTGCTGTTTTTTCTGTATTTATTTATTTTTATTTTTGACTCTGAACAGCTAGAAATCATGACTTTTGCTCTCTAACAGAAGATCCTTAAACTTCAGTACACTCAACCAGCAGGACATGAATCACACCAGACCAGCAACTTCACCCCTGACTGGCTCATAAAGAGGAACGTTTTGGTGTGGCCTATTTAAAGTCCAGACTTGTATTCACTTGCAGCACTTTGTTGCAAACAGGCTAGTTCACCACTGTAATGTAGCAAAATTAAAACAAAGTGGGACAACATTGTTCCAAAGCAGCATAAAAATTCAAGGGGACAAATACTTATTCATGCTATACCATGAGAGACGACTCTCATTTCCTCTGACACCTTTCAGTCAGCAAATAGTTTGCATGTTTTATGTTAATACAAAAAAAATAAACTATTAGACTTTTACAGTTTATACATATTAATGCATACCTTTTACTGTATTTTTTTTATTCCATTCAAGAGATGATTAGAATTAGGGAAGGCTGACCTGTTGTGTTAATTTCTGTTTTATACTACTAAAATTATATATTGAATGATATTTTTTATTATTTCAGATGAAGGCAGTCTGCTGCTGCAGTGTGTTGCTCCTGCTCGTTCTCACTCCCACCTGCTGTCATGGTGGCAACGTCTTGGTCTTTCCTACAGAAGGAAGCCACTGGATAAACATGGAAATTATTCTTAAAGCTCTACACTCCAGGGGACACAATGTTACTATTGCACGACCCAGCAAAACCTGGTACATCAAGGATAATCCCTTATATTACAAGACTTTCATAGTTCCAGTAGAAAACAGCTTAATAGATGCAGATTTTATGAAAAAAATGTTTTCTGAATTTCTAAANTCCCTTGTTCTTCATATTCTTATTCTCTCTTTTATAAATATATATATATATATATATATATATATATATATATATATATATATATATATATATATATATTGAAAAGTATTGTTTCAATATGAAATGGGTCCCTCCCGTTCTGTCTGCCAGGGCGAACACAACGCGATGGGAACAGACTCAACTAGCTTTTCTTTAGAACCGTTTCCATTTTCCATGTAGTTCAGTAAACTTATGTCTCCTCTAAAACCTTTTTTATTTTTTTTTCAAACAGTTGTTTGAGACACTTGCGACGCTTTCTAAATTAACCTGCCAAGTCAAAGAGTTGTGAAGTTTAGTAGTGCATAGCCGGTGGCTCATTCCTTCAGATGATTCCTGTCAGTTTAAAATGCTGCACCAGTAATTTAAGGCTGTGGACCCAGATCAGCGCACGGTATTTAGCAATCCAAAACAACATCCAAAGCACTGTAGGCCTCGCTTGCCTCAGCTAAGGTCAATATTCATAAATCAACAATAAGAAAGAGCAAATTTTATTATTTTAAAAGGGACAATGTACGTTGACAGTGCCAAGGTAAAAGAACAAACAAAAACACTGAAAATATTCTGTGGACTGCCAAGACAAAAAAAATGGGATTTTAAAATATGCAAGCTTAGCCGCATCAGGCATAAATCTGACACAGTACTTCAGAAAAAGGCCATCATATCAGCAGCTGAACATGGTGGTGGCAGTGTGGCTACAGGATCCCACCGACTTGCCGTAGTTGATTGGATGAGGAACTCTGCTCTCTGGCAGAAACAATTCACCTCATAATGGCCCAAACTAATAAAGAAATAAAAATACTGAGGGCTTTACCTAAAAGTCGTAATGTAAGTCTGATTGAGATGCTGCGGCATGATGCTAATGCTCAAAAGAGTGACTTTTTCCTTTGATAAATGAAGACATCAGCTGAAAACTACATTTTGATCTTACTCAGGTTGTGCTTGTCTGATGACAATTTTCTGAAACATGTAAGTCTGATGATAGTTTGAGCTGCTTGAGCTAACACCTGTGGTTCTGATCTCTGCTTCAGTCGCAGCTTGACCCTCAACGTTGTTTTTTAAGAGGACAGTGACACTAAGAGCAACTGTTCCTCTGAAGGAAAGACTGACAGCAGCGTTTAGAGGATCCTCCAGTGGCCACCCAGAAAACAAAAACAGCACTTTATGCATGTCACTTTTCTCTGAAACGAGCTGACAGGACGACAAACTGAGCATACATCTGAGTCTGGAGAACCAAGACGGGGCGGACACTCCTGAACTATCCCCCAGCGAGAGGAAACCCAAGCAGGGTCAGTACCGCTCTGGGATCGACCGCACTGGCATCCACCAGAGCCAAAACCTCATTCTGGAAGTTTGGAAAGCGGAGCGGAGTGACAGCATTTCCTGCATCCATTTGGAGTCCCACAATATGGAAAACATTTCAGCCTCTGAGAGGAGAAAAGTCAAGTCATGCGTCGGTTAGGTTGTGATTGCTCGTGGTGGTATTTTCTGGGTAAATCGGAGTTTGAGAAAAGGAAGCCTTTTATCTGTAAACAATAACAAATTGAACACGGGAGGGGCTGCCGGCTTGAAACTTGATTGTGTGGTCTGAGGAGTAGAATTGTTCTTTGTCAAATAAATGGCATTTAGATTTCTGTGAAAAAAGAAAAGAAAAACTCAAACATTCTCTGTGTTTCTGGAAAAAAAAAGAAAGAAAAAAGAGCAGCAGCTATTGTCTGGGTGGCGGGGCTCTGCGCCAGCATAACCAGGCTTGATATTTACACGGACCATTGCTGAACCGCTATTTAACCGCTGCATGTTGTATACATTTCAGTGGTTTACAAAAACTGTAGCTACACCTATTTAAAAATATCCCGGGAGAACAAACAGAACATGTGAACTCTAAGCTTTTGTTTAACCTCTGAATCAGTCCTGATCCTCTGTGAGAACGATGGATAAACTAGACTAAACATTTCATCAGCTGCATATGAAGGCCTTGCAAAGTATTTGTGCCTTTTTTTTTCTCTCTCCACAGGGATATTCAGTCAAAAAGCTCTTGGTGACTCTGGAGGAGCTGCACAGATCCACAGGTCAGGTGGGAGAATCTGAAAGCAGGACATGTTTCAGTATTGCACTCCTCAAATCTGGATGTTATGGAAGTGTGACCAGAAGAAAGCTGTTGTTGAACGAAAGCTCCTTGAAGTTCTTAGAAGGTGGTGGTGGTGGTGGCATCATGCTGTGGGAATGTTTGTCTTCAGCAAGAACCGACAGATGCAGCTACTCACAGGTTAGTACTGCAAGAAAAAGTATCAGAGGCGGGAAAAAAATCTGAGACTTGGGTGGAGGTTTACCTTCCAGCAGGAAAATGACCCAAACTACACAGCCAGAACTACCCTCGAGTTGTTTAAATCTGAGTATGGCCTAGTCAAAGCACAGATTCAAAAGTGTTCATGTTGTCCATTCAGTCTGACTGAGCTTGAACTATTTAGCAAAGCAGAATGGGCAAAATTTTCAGTCTGTGAATGAGTGAAGCTGATAGACGGTTCTGTCATGCAATAAGAACCCACTGTGGTGAAAAATGAAGAAGTTTAATTAAAATAAACGACTTAAGAGGAGCAAATGCGGATAAGGCAGGGCATGGAAGCAGACTGACAGGAGCCAGAGACAAACACTGGACATCCAGGAGCCAAACTACTGAAGGGCGAGATTGTTAACAAGAAGCAGAAGCATTTTCCTTTCACTTCATAATTGTGTGAAATGCTTATTTTTTGTTGACCTGTCAAACAAAATAAAATAAATAAAAAACTTGAGGGGGTACTCATATCGTTGAAAGTCTAGATGCAACACACACAGTGCTAAAATATTCGAAAGTACCTGCATTTTCTCCTTCGCTGTCATGTTTTCTAGTTTGTCTAAACTACATGGTCAGACAATGCCAAACTGTTTCCCATTCTCCAGGAATTGTTTTCTTTTTCTTTTATTTTAACTGTTTTCACAAAACAAATCCCAGATTAAGCCACAGCCTTCATATTTGTCTGGCAAGAGAAAAAAGGGGAACATGTCAAGTGTTATAGTGCGGTGTGAATGACTCAACAGCAATTAGCTTGTTTTTGCTGCGTCTCAGTCATTTCTGTCTAGAGGTTTATCACATGGCAATTAGACTGGAAGAGACACATTTTCCATGGTGATAAATTCTTTTTCCCCACAAGATGCTTGACTGCAAGGAGACCTATTATGCTTCCTTGAACAAGTTAGGATAGGTCCGTGGGTTGCACAAAATATGTGCAATGCATTTTTTTGCACAAAATCATTCTCAGATAATGAGATATCAGTCTGCTCAGTTCTGCCCATTTTAAGCTCCTTTCACAATTATGTTTTAGTGCGTCTTGTCACTTTGAATCCAAACGAGCCGCTGCTGGCCACGCACCCCAATGCGATATTTACGCTCGCTCTTTATACGTGTGAAAATGGATGGACACAGACAGACAGTTCGCCTACAACCGTGCATATTTGACTTAGCAGCAGCAGTTTCTGAATGGTGAGTCAACAACAAAACACTCGTTGTTGACTTGTTTTCCAGACACCAAAAAAAAAAAAAACAATTTATTGCCAGAACATGCCTCTGTTGTTGTTGTTGTTGTTGTTGTTGTTGTTGTTGTTTTTTAGCGCTTAGTTTGTTTCTGCAAACCCAAATGAGACCCAAATGGAAGGACGAAAACGGACAAAAAGTGATTTTTGAAAAATAGGCCTCAGTTAAGGGAAGTCAGGAAAACAGTATACCGACATTTTTTTCTCTTACTTTTCCTGCTTAAAACTTTAAGCACGTTTCATAAGTTCCTTATATGCAACAAATACACACAGTTTAATCAAATAGAGCCTTTGACTGTATATGCAGTCATGGGTAAACCTCAGCAACAACTTCTAGACTTTTATCTGAGTTTATCAGTTTTTCACTTCATTGTGAGCTGATTGTGGTCCGCTCTGCTTTAAAATATTATTCTTTTTATTATTCTGTTCGTTTCTGCATAGATGCTTTCTCCACAAATGATTCACTGCGTTGTAAACCTAAGTTGTGCCGCCATATTACGTAGAAGAGGCTTTTTCTTGGCAAATCTTTGAACAGTGTGGTCATTAACGTTGACTTTTGAAATGCCAACTGAGGTCTGCAGAGTCCAAGATGGAGCTCTGTTTTTTTTCTTTTTCGCTTGTTTTGCTTTTTACAGTTTCGCAGGTCATCTGTGATCAGAAGAGAGAACACCAATTGGAGCTCAAAACCAAAGATTTTCTTTCACGACAACTTTGGCAAAGAGAAAGATTATATCAGCAGAACCAGAACCCAGGTTGAAATGTTTGAAAGTTGTGAGCAAGCTTTCTCTCTGTAGGAGGCTGGACCTCATATTTTGGAAATAGCCTTGCAATTCTTCCCAGAAGTTCTCTAAACATCTCAAAGCGTTTCTGATTCTTTTCCATTTTGGCATTTTATTAAACAATTTTTGTTCCCGTTGCTTGACACAGACAACTGTTGACCAACCAGAATGCATTCAAAGTACTGTGGTATTAGCTTTAAAACAGATCTGTTACACACAAGCACTGGGAGTTTTCACGTTTTGCATATTTCCAGACGTTGATGGGAAAATCCATCCACATTCGCATGAAAAGCGCTTCAAAATTCAATTGCACAATGAAAAGACAATTGGCAAGTGAGGACAACTTCTTTCTTTGCTGTAAAAAAAGACCACATGCTTGATCCCTGCGACTTTATTTGGCGACATGATTAAACAGCCTCTTGACATAAAACGTGCAGGCTATCATTAGAAAACCCCAAACTATTGGAGACATTAAACGTGACTCTTTCATCTTTTTTCCTTTCTTCTTT